CGACTTCCTGGAGGAGCCACGACTAACACAACATGCAGAGTATGCATTCAAGGCGATTACGGCAGCAAACATCACATCATTGGGCGTGCGGGGAAAGGACTGCGCAGTAGTCATCTCGCAGAAGAAGGTGCCGGTACGTATGGCAAGCACGACGGGCTGCACGAGGTACTGACGTATGTACACAGGACAAGCTCATCGACCCCTCCTCCGTATCCCACATCTTCCGCCTGTCGCCCTCGGTCGGCTGTGTCATGACCGGATCCATCGCCGATGCGAGAGCCTCCGTGAGCAGAGCGCGGGGTGAGGCTGCCGAGTTCCGCTACAAGTACGGCTACGAGATGCCCTGCGACGTACTGGCAAAGAGGATAGCCAACATCAGCCAGGTCTACACACAGCGCGTAAGTGGCGATGCGTGAAGAGAGTGCGACTGGATGCTAAGCAACGTGCAGGCTTATATGCGACCGCTCGGTGTGGCCACCACCCTCGTCTCCCTCGACTCTGAATTCGGCCCCCAACTCTACAAGTGCGATCCAGCTGGCTACTACGTAGGCTACAAGGCAACAGCCTCTGGGCCCAAGACGCAGGAGGCGCTCAACTTCCTCGAGAAGAAGCTGAAGAACAAGGAGCATGCTGAGGGCAACTGGGAGGAGGTTGTCGAGCTGGCCATCACCGCCTTGAGCACCGTCCTGTCGGTCGACTTCAAGAAGAACGAATTGGAGATTGGCATCGTAGGAGGCCCCAAGACCAATGGCCAGGAGGGCACAGACTCCGCCTTCAGGGCGCTCACCGAAGAGGAAATTGATGAACGACTACAGTCAATCGCAGACAAGGACTAAGGAAGGAGGACTGGCCGTGGAGCTGGAACGGCATGTGGGTCGCTGAGGTATGACTGAGACGAACCATGACGATAACAACAGATAGCATGATACGACCTCTCAGACGTCAAAAGTGCTCCAGCAGCACCATGAATGAAGACGTTAGACTATACTCTCCTGCATAAGCGCAACTGTGACGAAGCGGCCGGTCCTGGGACAAGAAACATGTGGTGAGTTCAGCCATGACTCCACTTGGTCTCGCCCATGACACCAGATTCCCATACTGCCTCAGCTGCAACGGTCTGCAATAACTCGCGAACTGCTCCATCGACGTCATGCTACTGGCTCCTAGTCGTCGGAGTGCCCAGCACAGCCGTCGCGTGGCTGACCGTGGCTTACCGTGGCTTTCGCGAGCGTTGTTCGACTTTGCGCGCACGTCAACCCTACGCGGGCACGCACTTCCAGGTTCATACTCAGCGGACTACCACGCGAAGACCGCACCACTAATTATAAGCATCGTCCAATCAGAGCGGATGCTGCGGCTGAGATACACAGCTTGGCCTTGATGCCTTACCCGATGCAGCCTACCAGGGCTGGCTCGCTAAACTACTTCGCTCGATGTGGCGCTTTTAGGGCTGCTGAAAAGGTCCAGCACAACGCTGCTCATTCCAGCTGGAGAGCAAACGTAGCGGAGCATCGAAAAATAGGCATGGTTAGATGCAGACGCACGGTTCCTGCATGTTTGGCTATCCCGTTGTAGTGGAGACTGGTACTGACGGTGATGCTACTATGCCGATTCTCACACCTCCTCACAAGCCTCGAGCTGCCGAATGCAAGGTCCTGAGTGGTCTACCAGGCCAGGGCCCTAGTACAGCTGGGAGCTACTCACGTTCCCAGAGTGGGACGTCCTTATGGTAGCGGCGGGAGCAGCCCTGCACGCATGGCTATTCCTACCCTACGCTATCGAGAGCCTTGCTCATGAACACTACCACCACCATCATCATCGTGGATACATGTCTTCTACATGCTATTTAATACTCGCCACGCCGCCTCAATTCACTGCCCATCCACACCAGCAAGCCTAGTTCTCTTCTGCTATCTACGACTTACTTCTTATTAGCCACTTCATCAATCTGTCGCCAGTCGATCTTCATTTAAAAAAATCAGAAGCCACCATGTCTGACGGTCGTAAGGCTCTCCCTGCTCCAGCAAAATAATTCTATCCTCCCAACTTCCCCACTTCATTCGACCATTCAAAACACAAAGGCTGACTTACATATAGTCAATGATGCCCGTGCCATGCGCATTGCAGAGATCATGACCGACTTCCGCAACCTACAACACTACCTCGTCCAGTTACGCGCCACTCCCACAGCAGAAGAGTATTACCTTGAGGGTTACTCTCTGCTACGACAATGCACCAGCGAGGCACAGGCCATCCTACAGACACCCTTTTCTGGCAGTGCCAGTACGGGTTCAGGGGATCCGGAGGCAGAGAAGCAACAACTGAGAAAGTAGGCAACTTCCTCCTGCCTGTTCCCCTCATGAAGGACTGCAGCAGCCAGCACGAAAGAGGAGTCTGACGAGTTCTAGCATCATCACAGACGCCGCTGTGCGACGCTTCCAATGCCAACGCGCTTACCTACGAGCCCACGCTGGCCTGCGGTGGATGAACGCCCGCAACAGCGTCTTGCGTGGCCAGAGGCCCAACGCGAGCCATCTGGGTGCACTCCAGCAGGCTGACGCTACAATGAGAAACGTACGTTGAATGTGCCATTGCCCTATTCCACTCCGAGATTGGAGGAGAGGGATTCAGAAGCGACGAGAAGCACCAGGCTGGGAAGATTGCATGCTAGCTCACTAAGTTCTAAACTGACTATCGGACTACAGGAACTCCTCGCAATCAGCGATGCCTATGTCGAGAACACGCTGCGCGCCGCAGACGCCTCGCAGGGCAAGTGGCTGAATGAAGATCCTTCGCTGGCACAGATCCAACAGATACTTATGACTCGACGATGAGCATTTACGATCCAACAACACCGCCCGGAGCTCTCCATCAGATTGAGAATATTACCGCCATCCTACGAATACGCCCACTCCCACATCATACCGCAGCGGATTCGTCCCTCCGTTCTTCATCGTTTCCCCGCACACGTCTGCTCCGGCGAGTCTCTATTGGCAAGACATGCCTACACATCGCGATTCATTGTTCAGGCTTTTTGAATACTACTCTTCTAGTGCTGGTCACACGGTTTGGGAAGCACATACACTTTGTTTCTTTGGGGTAGCCCTGGATGATAGCCTACTTTAGCGTTAGCGTTGGCGTCGGCGTCTTGAATCATTTCGGTGCATGGGACATGTTCCGCTCTTTTGGAAGGCATAAGCGACCGGTCGGCAGATAGGCATGAGAAGTGATGGCAAAGCATGGCAAAAGCACAGCGAAGTTCGGGTAAAGTTGACCCAGGAACAGTTGTTCGGGCGTTTCCTCTATTCTTCTTCTCGCTTTTTTGTCAATTGCGGCTTTTAGGCTGTATCCCCATGTCCTAGTTCCTTCTTGAGTTGTTACCTTTCTTTCGTCTTCTTTTCTTCTTTTCATGTCAATAATTCTAGTCACTATTGGTATTTCAAGCACGTCAACACCATCTCATGAACACGAAGACGCACACAAGCCTGTTACTAACCAACCACTCATCAAGAAACGAATGTGGGACCTGGAGCGATATGGGCATCTCGAACTAACTGCCTTTAGCGTCGTGCACTAGCTTTCAGCTTGACAGGCACATGGCCAGATCGAACTCGCACCGTCGAATCCCACACTGCGGAGCCGACCGATTATGCAAGTGGATGCAATGCACCAGGGCTTTTACCAAACGGTTGTTCGTAAGGCAGATACCTTAGCGTGGAATCAACCCTATGGACGTCATACACTAGGCAGGGCTGAGTGAGGAGTAATGGAGGCTCTAGCAGTAGCATGGACATGTGCCAATGTGCTTCCTCGCGAATCACAATGCAACGCAGCCTCTCCAAGACCCAACCCCATGGCGCAAAATTAGCAACTTGAAACTTTCCATCGATCGCACAACACGGCCACCATCACACAATATCACGCGCAATCATGCATCGCCCAGCATCAAATCCCACATTCCCCGTTCCATGCATTCGGCATCGCCTTAACAGACCAGGATTACATCCCAGGACAGCTCGCTTACGCCATCTTCCCGCGCACTTGGCCTGATTGCGGCCTAGGGGATCGTCGGAGTTCCCGAAGTTGGCGGGCTTAGCGTGCGAAGCCACGCTTCGGTACCAGTACCGGACGAATATCATGTGCGATGAGTGTCGTGGGATCGATGCACGATGGCTAGTTGCAGATGGCTACAGGGCGGGGTGCAGTGCAGAAGGTCTTGACGGGAGGTAGGGCGAGGTTCTGGCGCGGTCGCAGAAGGTGGCGTGGAATGCTGAGTGCGATGGGTCGCGATTGGGTAGGCTTGGGGGGTTTGCATTTGATGATGACGCGTCATTTTTATCTTACGGCTTCGTCGTATGAGATGCTCTCAGCAGTTGAATCAATAGTCGTGGGCTTTTGCCTCTATTTCCATGAGTTGCGCAGGCGACAAACGTATAGCCTGAGGCATACACGAAGAAGAGAATGCGTTGTCGATTCACAATAGGGCCCTGATCCTGCTTCAGGCTGGGTTTTGAAGTCATGCTTTGTTTAGTGAAATAATCGTGACAGCTTCGAGGTAGCCCATGGTCAGCACGAAAGTCTGAGACAATAACAGCATAGCCACAAAAGGTGTAGACGCTGCTATGGCATCGCGTAGTGCACCTTTAACTAGAATCTTCGTCGTCTTATTCACAGATGTACCGAAAGCATCGCGTAATCAAAGCTAATTAAACGTAATATACTCGCTTCCTTCTTGCTAAGACTGTTGATGCTCTTAGACAGCATGCTAGTTCTATGTGCCTCCTTACTTTGTCTTCACGAACGCCCAATCTTCGTTCTGATCAATATGTCAGCTTCTCAAGAGTGTTTTGTATGCAAGCGCTATTCTGCATTCCTTACTCTGTTATTCGAATCAGAGCGACAACCGTAATACAATCTGGCAATAGAAAACGACTACGCAAAACAAGCGACGACGCTTATTGAACGTGCGCTCCGTCTCCTACACCAACTCCTGAATCACCATGCCGCTCTGTTCTCGTCCAGCGACTCCCTCAAAGAAATGCTGGGTATCGCTACAACGACCCTCGATCAGCTCCAGGGGATAGCCGGGTCCAACTCAACACTAAAGGAAACACGAAGGCATCCCACGAACGCGACATCCTCTCTTCCTCCGCAGCCATCCAAGGAAACACCTAAAACCATCAAGCAGGATAACTCGAACCCGACATTCAATTCTGAGTTGTCGGACTTTTAAGGGAGACGTACTCCGACTCAAGAAGAAGTACCAGAAGTTGCGCGCAAACATCGAGACGCACAAGGACAACATCAAGGCCATTAAAGACGGCATGCCCAACAAGAAGACCCCCAACAAGATGCTTCAAAAGGTGAAGGAACTCGCTAACTGCGTCGAGCGCCAGAATGCTCGCAAGGTAAACACACATTAAAAGTTGATTACAACCAGTCTCGCTAACGATCGGCAGTTAACCTCGCAAGCGATGCTCGAGGTCCTAGAGAACGACGTCGAAGCCTGCGATGTTGACTTCCAAGCCACTGCTGGTCCCCTGTGGACCGAGCTTGGAGAGCTGTGCAAAGCCGCGGAGAAGAACGACAAGGCTGCAACCGAGATCGGTTTCAGACAGCTCTTCCCGAGATTCCCGAGCTGGCAGTTAACCTACCGACTACGTCGACAACTGCCCTAACCTTTGGCGCATCAAGTCAAGCGCATCCGTATCGACTACAGGGAATTATGGGCAGCATTTATTCAGCACTCTTACTAATGCTGGGAGTATTCGTGCATCTGTTAATCCTTTGAGGTTATCCAGCTTGATCGCCGGAAGCAGTCAATTCAAGCTTCCCCAACCGCCTGCGACATCATAAACAACCCTGAAGGATACATGGAGCCTAGCCAAGGTAACAAACAGTCTTCGTCAAAGGCTGGAGAAGATACAGATTGGGATCGCATGCGGGTGTCGCCACATAATCTACCCGGGGAGTATTCAGTGTTAGTTAACCCATCGCCATGCTTCCGCCAGACTTCAAGCGGAGGAACCCGCTCAGGGTGCGACCTTTCCAAGACTTCGATGACGCCGCCCCACCACCATCCAATGCCCGAAACAGGGTCTTGAACATGGTCCATGAGACTGGAGGGTTTAACCCAACTTGGAGGCGAAAGAAGGTTGAGGAATACATCGCCCCTAAAGGAGATGACGAACAGAAGCCTTCGAAGAGGAAGCGCAGGAACAAGAACAAGAAGACGAAGGAGGCAAAGGACGTGAGTCCCGCACTTCTGAAAAGTCAGTATGACTTGCTGTGGAGTTTGATACAGGAAGGGCTTCGGGTTGGATCAGATGATCACACAACGGAGTCGGGGATGGATTTTGCAACACCATCGGAGCTTACCAATGCGAAAGAGCCCATCGTTCTCGACCCACATCAACGCCATGCTATCCATAGGGCCTCGAGAGATTGCAGGCAGGCCATCATGAAACCATTGTGGCATACGGCATGGATATTGGCAAGACGCTGGTAGCCGTAGGATTGTACGCCGTCTTGAAGCAAGACTTCGCCATGCATGGGCTTGATTGGTCCTTGATTGACAAGACAACTTTGGACGAAGGGCATGATTCGCATGAGTTTGACCGCAAAGTGAGCATACAAGGAGGGTTTCTGATCGTTGTCCAAGTCGATCTCATTCCCTTATGGGAGAAGGAGCTCCAGGTGCACTTGGAAAACCCTCCAAGTGTCATTGTATACCATGGACACCAGTCGTGGTACCACTCCACAGCGCATACTGCAGACGAGCTTGCCGCAGTTGATGTGGTAATAACATCCTATGAGACGTTACGGTCAGATTACGAAGATGCCATGGCCGCTGCAGCGTCGCACGAAGACTTCTTCAAGACACCGGTTCTCGCACGTTCCCCCACCATGGTCATATACTGGAGGGGCCAAATCTTGGACGAGGCACATAAGATCGCAAACGACAAGACTGGTGTCAACAAGGCTGTAAATCGCGTTCGACCGTTGATGCGTCTGCCACTTACGGGTACGCCATTCCTCAACGATTACACAGATATCCAGTCCCAGCTGTCGCTGATCAAGCTCGCGCCCTGCGACGATCCGAACTTTTTCGCTTCTCTTTTCCTGTTACATTCTGCGGCCAACCCATTCGTATACCGCACGTTGTCGGGCAAACTCAACAGCGTGCTCTCTCTGGTACTCAAGTTATACTCTCTCCAGCTAGATCACGGAAACATTTTTTATGGCGAGACGGTTGCTTCCGAGATCGATGCGGAATATGTTCGACATGACCACGAATTGGAAAGCTGGGAGAGAGACGCGCAAGAGAACGTTAAACAACCGTGGCTTCCAAGGTTGGGACCTGGGAGCCGGGCGAGGGTGAGCGGCAATAGCGGCGAAGATATTCTCAAGCTCATCATCTTCGCCAGAGTAGCGGCTGTGCACCCCGAATATGCTGACACGGGTCACGGAGAGAACGGAATTGTCAAGGTCGATTATCAGGAACTCGATGATGGTGCAGTAGAAGGCCTCCCCCTGGGCGAGATTTCGAAGTTGCAGGTGCTCAAGCGTGGCGTGGGTCAATGCGGCAATGACGTCATGGCTAGCGGACCTTGCGACGCGTTCGTTTTGATCACGCACTCTCTCCAACTCTACCTAAGTATCTTACAGTCCAGGTTTCGTTCAAACTAGCCGTTTTTAAACATCCTGAATTAAACCCCCATGCTCTATTGACATGTGTAGTTGATCGCTGTGCTCAGCTTGACTTGCCAACAGCTCTTATCCTACCGCCCCAAAACCACAGCACAGCACTTGCTGGTAATCCCAAACCAATCGAGGCGAAACCCAATGCGCTGTTACCCCAACCATATCCCAGACTGTTGTACATGTCGGGCGCAAAAACCGGAAAGACAAATGCGAGGCCATACGAAACAGAACGAATTGCTGCACCAGAGGAAGCTGCGAACTGGCCAAACTCCTCAATCTGGTATGCGATGCTTGCTTGGTTCACGATGAAGCTACCCAGCGTGAAGATAACAACACCGAAATCGACCATCACCCAGTGGAGTGTGCGCTCGGCCGACCACCCATACCAGAAGAGACCGGCTGGCATGATGATCATTCCTGGAACCATGTAGGGGATGCGGAACTCAGGCACGCCTTTTCCATCAGTCCGTTTAGCTTGTCTTCGATACGACCAGTCCATGATGCGGCCGCCCAGTTGACCACATAGGGTCGAGCCTATTGCAACCGAGAGATAATGTAAGCTGCCGACAAGCTCAGATTGACCGTATTTGTCGATCCACAGCGACGCGTAAGTAGCGAGCATGAGTGTATAGACGGCAAAAGACAACGTCGCGGTCAGTGAGATAAGCCAGGTGATAGGCCTTGTCATAAAGATGCGGATTGGACGCAGGAGGTTCTGCGCAATGCGAGCACGCTCAGCTTTGGTGGTTGGGACGTTACCACCCTCGGCTAAGGCTTTGCGACGGAGCAAGACTGGTGTGTATGATTCGCGAATCAAGAAGAATCCAACGATTAGGACTACTGCGTTGAAAGCACTCATGATCCAAAAGACCCACGACCAATGGAGGGAATGGGTAACAAGACCACCGATGATTGGTCCGAGAGCAGGACCAAGGAAGGGCAGTAGCGTCACCATGGCCAGGGATTTGCCGCGTTCGTTCTCGCCATACATATCTGCCATGACTGGTCCATTGAGCTGCGGATAATTAGTCATTGTCATGTCGGCGTTAATAAGTCTTATCACTTACCGTTACGCCCACACTCGCACCAGCTCCGGTCATAAACCTCCCAACGATCATCAAGCCAGTGTTCCTTCCCACAGGACAAAGTGTGTTCCAGGCCACGTACCAAGCGTTACATATCAGCCAGATTGGCTTCCTTCCCCATATCTCACTGGCGCTTGCGATTAAGAACGGCGCGATGCCCATGCCAAGGAAGTATACCGACATGGTTATCTGTGCAGTAGAAGCGCTGATGGTGAGATCGGAAGCGATGGCAGGAAGCGACGGTGCAATCATGCTTGCAGACATTATGGGTATCAGCTGGCCGAAAGAGAATATAATTCCCATGGTGATCTTGCGTGAAGCTTGCCAGTTGTAAGGATCGGAGGTGTCCGTGGGTGACGCCCATGTTGACTAATTTGTTAGCAAGAATTGATCAAAGTAAGACATTAACATACTCCGTATTCATTCTTCAACCGCACCAGGCGGTCGTTAATATCGTCAGTGGTCCAAGACGTTATCTCCGGGTCTTCCCCGTCACGGGCTCGATGCTCAGTTTTGAGTATGCCCGGTGCCGGACCACCAACAATCCCATCGACAGCTTTCTCAGGGTCTTTGGAATGACACATATGTATGAATATCGTCAGCGAGAATTGCATATATCCAATAAACCGTGACGCGCTTTGCGTACAGTATATACGATGTTCGCTCGGAGTTCGGATCTGGGCTCTTATCAGATCGGAATGAGCCCAGGCCCCCCATCCCGATTGTTGCCTAGCAGGATCTGATAAAGTGTCAGTCCTCCATGCCGCCGCTGATGCTCTGACCTTCCTATTCCAGTTAGAACGAGGCTGGCAGTGATATGTGTTTACTAGTGGCCCTTGTATTAGCCACTTAGGTGGTTGATAGACTCAGATTCGGATACATCTATGGACGATGTCTCCGGCCTCTACCTTGTCCATCCCTCAAGAACGAATCATCCCTCAAGAAATTGGCCGCGTTCTACATATCCTTCAGGGTCGATTATGATGCCGAATGTGGACATGGGAGGCTTTAATTGTCTGCTTTCGGCTTACTAGGTTGTGATACGGTGGTCTGCTGGGCAGTATTCTATACAAAAGAGAAAGAAATAGTTGGGAGCGTCTGAACGACTTCGTTCACTCTGGAGCCTACATTGTTGTTAAAAGAGACAAATGGAAAGTTTAGTAGCAATGTAGACTCCTAGGTCAATTCGAGGCCTGCTTACAGCCGAATGTGCTTTCTACATCCTCACAAAGCAGATGTGTGTTGAAAACTCCCACGAGATGAAGTGACGGCAGCTTTACAGGGCAATCGCGGCGAGCAGCCAAACTGTGAGCTACGGCATGAGGCTACGAGATCATTTGGGATACGAGAATCTCCAAAGTTCAGTTACAGAAGGCGCAGTACAGTTGCTAGTGTTGTGACAACGGTAAGAGTTCTATCGCAGTCGCCTGTACAACAGACATTTGATCAAAGACTCATAACACCAGGACTCATCGACTCGTCGAAGGTATCCTTTCCGTAAAGCAAGAACTCCATGTCGGTGACATTATGTATGTCGCTCTGATTCCTCCTCCAGCATCTTTAACAAACATCATATCCTCTGTATCTCCTGTTGCCAGCTGTGATGAGTCTGACCCTCCGGGAACATACTACTGACCACCTTCCCCGTCTTCATATCGTAATGTGATCCTGGTGGCAACTGGTTATGCATGCCACCTGGGCTTGTACTGCCGCCTCCACTTCCTTCGTTCTCTCTCGGATCGAGGAACTGTCCATGTCCACTTACACCAGACCCTGGCCGTTGTGGCTGGGAAATGGATCGCTCGCGCCATCGCTGACTTTGCTCGTCTTCCCGGGTGAAACGCTCGTATGGACTGGGCATGCGAACGTCAGGCTGGAACGTAGCGGCGCGCGGCGGGGCGAAAGACGGTGGTTCCCATTGACTTCTTCCCGTAGCTTTCTCTATGTAGTACCATCGTTGGCTCCTTGTGTCGTACTCCTGTATCCAACCCTGTGGCACTGATGGTGCACCGCCTTGCGGAGCAGGGCTGCCGGGGTAGCCACCTTGAGACTGCGGCCGGCCTTGCTGTTGCCCGTGGAGGACCGGCATTGGGTGATATCCATTTGCACGCGGCGGCGATCTGGTTCCGCGTCTCTGTTGCTCGAACTTGTGGATCTGTTTGGTGATGTAGTTGTCTGCGCGCTGTATGTAGGTTTCGAATGACATGGTGGCGTTCGTCTCGTAGATCAGGATAGCGCTAGGCCCGTACCGCGACAACGTTAGACTAAACGAGTAGTAGACGATGGTAATTGTGGTGCGTTTCACACAGCCACAACGGGGGCTTCACGCTATATATGCTCTGCCCAATCCCTTCCCCACGGCGTGCGTAAGCCACTCCTAGCCACATGTCATCAGCAGCTCTCCATCACAATGCAGGACTAGCCGCACCAGCACGCTGCAGAAGTCTCATCAAAATGGCGCCGCAATTTTGAAGCTTAGCATGGCTTCTATGGCGCAGGCCGCCGTGTGATTGGCCAAAGCAGGGGCGGTGCGGAAAGCGCGGAAGTGTGGCTCGCGTGAGGTGGCTTTCGCGCGTCGCTAATTTGCCGATTTCCGTGGCGCATGCGACAGCGAGGGATGTGACACCGAGTTTGCGTAGCACCGAAAGCTATCCGAACCCACAATTTGGCGCATACGAGATCGTGCGCGCAGTCCCTCCGAACCATGAAGAAGAAGCGATGAGTGTTGGTGTCTCGTCGCAGAAATCGTGCTTAAAGTCCATGTCACCATCCTCCCCGTGTCCCTAGATCACTCACCAAAAGGAATGGAAAAAGAAGCCTACCATTTGATGATAGTGCTCAATCATCCCTGGTACCAGTGCTGTAGGGTGAGCCTTTCGTTCAGAACCATATCCACGATCTGGTATCCGGACACAAGCTTCAGGTGAAGGCCAAACTCTCAGATGATGCGAGAAAGCCCCTGTTGACAGCCAATTCCCAGACCGGTTGGTCGTCCCAAATCCAGTAGTGCAGTTCGGCGGCACTGCGAATCGTGCGCACCTTCGTGGGGGCGACGATCACCTGCAAGGTGGAGCGTTATGTCTCGTGCGAATATGAGTCTGATAAAGGCAGAAGGATCGATAGAACGCCAGTGTGATCACTGCAGTACAAGAATCTGGTTATTCTCGTTGGAAAAGATGAGATATTCGAACGGTGTGCTCAGGTAATGTCTCGAAATAGTCAAGCTTGTCATCGTGCTCCTCGAAGATGATCTCTGGTCAATTCGCACAACGGACGACACTCCTGACGTAGCCGAGTATGGATCTGGGCCAGACTGCAGTAGTCCTAGGCAAAATGCATCCCCTCTTCGTATCGACAGAGTCAGAGCAACATTCTCGAACATTGTACGCGCGTCCGGCGTCAGCGTCCGCAATGACGCACCCATCTTCATGGCTGCATAGCTCTGATGAAAGACTTATTGGGTCTGTCAAGAGTACAAACACTGGAGGAATGATCAACTCCACGAAAGGAGAGGCTGCCAACTGGTGACGGCTCGGTGGAACCTGCGGAGAGTAGCCCGCTCGCGCGCTCGGATCGACGGCTGATATCTGCGGTATGCTTGCGCTAGGCTCGTAGCGACCAGAGGACGTCAGTATCACGTTCTCACCTTGTTCTGTAGCTTTCAGTACATACCTTATTGTGTCCATGTGGAATGATTGCTTTTGTAAGGTCTTTCGGGGGTTGCGTTTCGAGCTGCCCCTTGTTGCTTTGCTGGAAGCCGCCAGCATGCTTGTCGCGTGGAATTCACCCGTTCTAGATCTGGAGACATCTCCATGTTGATTCAGATAAGCATGATAAGTATTGTATTGACTCCCAGCGTTCGTTTGTGGAAAGCATGGTATTGTGCCTGGATAAGAGGGA